CCTCCCAACAGCACAAATTCTAATAACCCAAATAATACCAAATTTGGCAGACAGCAACCTTAAACCAAAACAAAAACAGGCAAAAAAACAAAAAACCAAAAAACCAAAAAATTGACCCCCAAACCCTAATTTCAGTTTTGGTCCCATTAGTCAGGAGCTGAAAATGGAGGTCCCCGTTAACCATTTTCCAGTGCATGTTCTTTCCCAGAGAATGAACTGAAACAAGGAGCCAGTGCAAACTCATGTCCCCTTCCCAGGAAATGCCCATGAACACGTTTCCTCCATGCTCTCCTCCCCGCTTTTCCCGAAACCTCCCACTTCTCCCCACGTCCTTAAACCACACAACAACGGATGCAGCCTTATGGTTATGACACATTCAGTAGTGTGGAGAACCACGGTGAAAACCAGCATTGCAATAGTGTTTTGTTGCACATTTTTGCTAAGTCAAAGTTCTGGGCTCAAAAGTTAGGCTCTGGAGTCCTAGATGTGCTAGAAGAGGACCTCAGGTCGATAGGGTAGTGGTTTAGACCGAGTCTCCAGGGCTTCAAAACGTCAACACAGGCTCCCAGAGAGCGAACAATCGGGCTATACCAGGTGCAGCAGTCCAAGAGTCGAAGATTTCTCCAAACATCAACAGGGGCAACAGATCACGCATGAATCCAACTCCTGAGAGTTTGTCGCTAGAAGTATCGGGGTCCTATCAGGTCAAGCAGCCTGGTGTGGTGCCCAAATCTCAGCCATCCATTTATAAGGGAGTGACAGGCCAAGCCCATTCAAAGGCTAGAAAAGATCGGCCTCCCTCAGCTTGGGTATTGATTCTGCCTTCTGGTGCGCTGATTGCAAGTGCTGGACGGAAGGCAAACTGGGAGGGACAGAGAGAGAGGCAGAGATAGCCATAGCTAGGAGTAGAACGTGCTCCTGCATCGTAACTTCAAACTGAGACCGTAGCTTGTTGACAGATCTGAAATAGAGAGGAGCTTACCCGGAATCACCTGGTCATCTTGCCGTCGAGGAGGCAGCACTTTTTTACTGAACGGCATGAACGCCTGTATTCCCCTTTCCGGCTTTGTTCTTCTTAGTGCTGGCTTTGTGTAAGCTACCACAAGTGGGATGTCAACCTGGGAAAAGTGACTGTGCAAGGTGAGGTGTTGAGAGTTGCAAGAGCAGCTTCACCTGTAGTACTTGATAGGATGGTGGCTAGTTGAGTCGGTGAGTGGAAAGAGAGGAGCGAATAGGTTGAAAAGAAAGAAGAGAGACCAGGCTTTGCACCGAAGTTTATCATTCTCCCACACTTCTTCTTCCGTCTGGTCGATGGATTATGAGCAGTGCAAGCATTCGCATGATGACGATGGTGTTTGCTTCAAGCACCGGGTTCATTGTCTTATATTTTTATTTTTTTTGAATTTTATTTTTTTGAATTTTTTTCCCTTATGGTCCTGGCCCATGTCCATTCTGAGGAGCGTCAGTCCTGTTCCTTTTCCTCTGGCAAGTAATGGACTTACAATAAGTACCCACTCATGTGTTATGATTCTGGTTGTTTGTTGTCTGAAGACCAACACTCACTCACATGAACTCCCAGGTATGCCCATACATACACAGAAGGAAGGGGAGAGGATAGGAGTATCACACCGCACAGAAAGAGATAAACACAGCGGAAAACTTGACCATGCGATATGACAGGGTACACTGAAAGTGCAATTCACTCCACTCAATCCTCACAACCAGTCATAAAGAAAAGCCGAGTAGATCACATCCAGGAAACAATTAAACGATGATAGTCCAAACCCAGTATTACACTGTTTATTAAACTCAGAGTCTGAAATTGTCAGAATAACTTCAGACCTACAGTGCGCTCCTCAGAAATTTGCAGCGCTTCATGCCCCGACCCTGAGTAACCACTTGTGTTGTGACACCCCTGAGTCCCTGAAACATCAAGCGCCACCCAGATACAGCCTCCAAAGGGAAGCGCCACCCTGAAACAGGCCTCTGAGGCCAAGTGCCACTCAGAGGATGAAGAAGAAGACCAGCGCCACAGTATCTGCTGATGACGAAGTGTCGGAAGACTTCCTGGATGGACGTCTGCAGCAGCGCCACCAAATCCTGACAAGATGACCTCTGAGGAAAAAGCTGCAGCTATGGCTGCAGTGCCACAACCCTGGAACCCCACTCCGGAGGAGGGTCCGGCAGGGCACCAACTTCTCTCGCCTCCAGCAGACCTCAATAGCCCAGACCTCTGACAGCCCCGCGTGCTGACAGAGTACAGCGCAGGTCCCAGCTATGGCCGGCGCTCCGAAGGTCTGGCTATGTCTGTCTCCCACAACGCTGAGCCGTCACCGCTTCCGGTTCATGCGTAGCGCAGCGGCGATGTACTCGGTACCAACTGCCAAAAGCCCTGAACCGATGTGCCCATCCTATCTATAGTCTACTCTAGCCTAGACTTGACCTAGACCGGACTGACTGACCGACTGGTACTGTTTCTGCTTCGGCCTCTGGGGCCTCTCCCAACGCGGCTATAGGCTATAGGACCGTCTATCAGCTTAGGCCCTTAGGGCCCGTCTGTCCTAGAGGTAGGCTGGGCCTGCTATTCGCAGTTAGGATAGCTGTAGGGAATTCTGTTAGTACGGGCCTATATTTTCCCGAATTTACAAATATGTCCTCACGAATTTCCTTACAGGCAGGTCTCTCGGTTAGCCCTCAGCCAAACAAAATTACGAATCTAACCTTAGACGCGATCCGACCGATGCAAGCCCCAAGCTTCGCCCTCAGCCCAATGTACAGTCCACTGAGAATCTGCAGGCTTCATTACACATGCTTCCTTCCATTCGACTGAAGAACCTCTAATCAGCATCGATTGCTCCAGTCCTGGAAGATTGACTGTCAGTTTCCCATTTCTTCTCTCATCAGTCCGGTTCCCTTTCCTCTGGCAAGACATGGACTTACAATAAGGTACCCACTCACACTTCCTTCCGTTCGGCCGAAGCACTGCTGATCATCACTGATTGCTTTTATCCTGGAAGATTGACTGTCAGCTACGACTCAGCTTCCCATTTCTTCTCTCTCAGACCCTTTGTGACCCTTTCTGGATTCTGCCGGATTGAACTTGAAAACCAAGAATGAGATCACCGAACCCGAGAGTTAGACTCCAGGTGCTTGTCAATTTGCCTTTGAACAGAAGGGCGGAACGCTGTTTCGGATGTCCATATGAGATCCTGACAATCTGGCTGTTGTCTGTCTCGTCTTGCACTTAACGTGTCCGAGTTGTTCCATCTTTTCCATTGAATGCAACATTGCCCCACGTTCTTATATGGTGGCTTCCTTCGTTGTGCATTGATTGTTTTCGTTTTGCAGGGGACTTCGCCAGAGCCAGGGATGCTTCAGAAACTTGCTGAGGTGCTGGGTCGGTCGTCTCATAGGCAGTTTGGGAGCCTAATCCAGCCTCTTCTCCTTCCCTGTGCACAAGCTCTTGTGCACGCCATCAGTTGTAGAACCTCCAATGGTGAGTGTATTAAACTATTCCACAAGGAGGCAGAGAACCATCATCCAGCATGGGTGGCATGAGAGTGTTGCTGACTTCTGATATCACACCATCATCATGGAACAACAGCAACAAGAAACATGGGAATGTGGGAGAGGCAAGGGAGGGCGAACATAGGGTGGGTGGGTGGCAAAGGGGTGCCACAGAGCGGCCTTGGCATTGCATATCACATTAGCCATCATTATCATTGAAAGGAGTGAAGATTTGGAGAAGGGAGGGCGAGATGTGGCTGGGCGGTGGGGGGTTGTCGACAATAGGTATACCCATCATTTCTGCATGATGTCCGAACTGGTGCTTGTTTTGTCTGCTACTGTAGCATATCAGAAAGTGAAATGCACTGAGAGCCTAGGATCTAGCAATGACGAAAGTGGCAACAACCAGCAGCATAGATGCAACATTCACAAGGTGCCAATGTGCACGATGCAAGAGTGAACCAACGAGAAATCAACAACAACAACACATTCGTATCATCATCATCATCATGAGCTGGGACACGTGGACAATCAACAACATGAAAAGGGATAAACTTCGGAAGGGCAAGACACCAGGAAGATTGCCCTTCCGCTCACACACATGGGGAGAGATCCATAGACCTGCGAGAGAGAAGGGGGGAAGGGACATAGAGGTACCCAAGTCCAACCCAAGTCTGATCTCGAATGTCACACACAGTTCAATCCCAATGTAGAGTGTAAGTCCGATCTGAATGTCGCGTCCAATAAGGCAGAAGGCCGTGTCCAAACAATGTCTGCAGTTACCTCTATCTCTACTCTGATAAAGAAGAAGAAGGAGAAGAAGAAGAAGAAGAAGAAGAAGAAGAAGAAAAAGAACTTCGGAGTAGGAGGAGAAGAGGAGAGGAGAAGAAGAAGAAGGAGAAGAAGAAGAAGAAGAAGAAAGCTAGGCGCTTTCTGCACTTACCTGGCGATGGCTGAACTTGCAGGTACCGCGGAGCCAGCTATGGCGCTGGGCAGGTAAGTCCTCTTCTCTCTCTCTCTCTCTCTCTCT